GATATATTTCACCCAATCGCCAATATAATTCACCCAACCTCTATTATATTTCATGCCAAATTGAAATTTGGCCATTATATTTCACCCAACCCCCGATATAATTCACCCAACCAACGGATAATTTCACCTTTTGAAAATGTATTTCACCTAACCACCTATATATTTCATGAAAAGTAAATCCTTTACGCCCGAGAGAGTGAAAACCAACACATCTACGGCTCAAGCACCAACGTCCAAGTCTTGCACCTTCGTAGCACGGACATAAAACGGCTTAAAGCGAGCAGTGTACACATGCAAGCGATTCGGCTCAATTCATATTCCATTGTTGAGTTAAATACGATATAAATGCACTGAATACCTTCAATTGCCTCGTCCCCTGTGTGTTCCAAGTATTGCATGCGAAACTCATTACGAGTTTGGCCATCGGTGGCAGCCCCATATCCGATCTTTTTGTGTATTATATGTAGCTTACCGCGTTGCATTGGTGTCAACGACTTTAACATGAGACATCCTTTTGCAGTGGACTCGTTGATTCCATATGCACGAGCAACGGTCTTCCAGTCTTGTCCGGCGTCGTGTGCTGCAACCACAGGTCTCTTGGCAGAGAGGAGAACTCGCTTGTAGGGATCACGTTGGGGTGGCTACTATGACATGTTAGCGGTGGATCGTTCTATACAGAGAGCTGTACCGGAGTTTGTGGTGCAGGGATGGCCTCTTCTATCGAGCTCAGATTCAAGAATGGTGCGCGAAGAGTTTCGCGCGCTTCGATCTTTCTAGATTCCCAAGTCGAATTATAATGATTGTTAGGTGAATTATATTTTCGAAACGTGAAATTAACCTGTGGTTGGGTGAATTATAACGCAGATTGGGTGAAATATAACGGCGATATTATACGTCGGCGTGAAATATAATGGAGGTTGGGTGAATTATATTGGCGATTCAGTGAAATATATCGGAGGTTGGTGGAAATATTTTGAAATAAAGCTGAAAATAAACGCAAAATGGTGTAGTATCAGCCAATGCAGCAACTACTGTACAGTACATGTAGTGTCCTACCTATTACTCTTACAGTACATGTACAGTACCACAGCCCTCGTGTTGCATTCAAAGAACATGTACTCTAGACAACGCACAATGTGCCGACTCTAATACCAGTACCACAACATTCCTTCAACGACAACAAGATTGCATACACTGCGGCAAGTAGTTATAGGAGTACAGTACTAGTACGTTTAGTTGTCGTCGTCGTAAGTGGGGGAGGACGAACAGTCAGTTTACAACAATAAATGGGTCCATGGTGATGTTGGGGCAGAATGAAATGTGATTAAATCTCATGAGTAGGAGTCGTGTAATGCAGAATCGTGTCAAGGCATGCAGTTACCGGTATGTAGTAGTGTGGCATTTAGAACGCAACTTCCAATTCAGAGAGCCATATTGTACTTGTAAACACTTATTCTTCCGTGACACAATCACAGAAGTTTTGTCCAATCTCTACCTTATTTTCTCGATAAATACCAATTCAATTACACCTTGATCACATACATTCTTTAATCATATTTATGTAGTCTGATACAAGCTAACAGTTAAACGTCTTAACTGAAATGCGTTAAAATAGATGAACTTATTTCATGAGTTCATTTATTTGAACGCATTTCAGTTAGTGTCATGGCACAATTAACTCATTGGGAGAAGCTATGCTTGGAGTGGCAAAGGTCGTTGGTTCGAACCCCTTCGTAGAATTCATTTTTTCTTGAAATCAAACTCCATTTGCTACCCGCACCACACATAAAGCAGCAATCGTAACTTCACTAACGTGGCAGCCCTCTACAATAACTAGTACTGCAGCAGCAAAACACTGTTCCTAGTTGGATCCATTATACAGCAGTAAGATGTAGTTAAAAAGTACGCGTAGTCGCAGATTAAGTAGACCTTGGGTCACCAAGTCGCTTCACATACCGTGGGGGTTGAGATGCATAGGTGGAGTCGTTCACTTGCTGGTGACTGAGATCGTCCAGGGTATTGCGTATAGTCACTATTCACACCCTCAGCTACTATGCTTCCCCTCAGCTACTATGCTCCCCCTTAGCTTCAATGCTCCCCTCAGAAGTTATATAGCTTGCATGATTAGCACAGACTAAACTGTTTGACCGCAGCTAGCAGGAAGGGGGTGGGGGATTCACTATTACTGCCAATAATCAAAGCCAGCAGCAAGTTATACAGTGCATGCACACCATGATAATAGCTTCAGACGAGTAGCGGTGTCGAGGTGATGGACCACCATGTAATTGCCTTATCACCACATTCGTGAGTTTTCTACATACGGTACCAGTAGAACATATCAGCAACACGAACATCATTGAAGTGTACCTGTATTTCATATGTATACTACTACTAGTATGTACCCAGCCATGCTTACAGTGCCTACACATGATGGACGCTACTAGTATACGTGTGTGATTGTAGTATAACCAGTAAAGAATGCGATAACTTAGGACAAGTGTACTGTCAGCGATCACATATATGTTCATGTACTGTAGTGCCAACCAATATTTCAGCCAATGCAGTAGTACTGTACTGTAAGTACATATAATGTCCTGCCTACACTCATACAGTACATGTACCGTACCACAGTCCTCGTGTTGCATTCAAACGACATGTAAACTCTAGCTAACACACGTTGTACCGACTCTAGTACCAGTGCCACAGCATGCCTTGCAACGGCAACATACCCTACGACGAGTAGTTCTAGGAGTACATTAGCTTCGAGGCTATCCATAATGCCCTACATCTAACCACCGTACTGTAGAATTCGCTTCGGTATGCACCCAAACCCCAATTCACGCACATCCATGCGAATACAGTGTACTGTACAAGTACCAGCACGTAAACCCACATTGCTAGTAATTTGCACTAATATACTGTAAAGTTCAAACAGATATATCATGTCCAAAAGTCGTGGTTGAGATATATGGCTGCGTTGCTAATGCCCGGGGCTCAAATCCCGAAATCAATCGCACTTTTTTGTACTTGAACTTGCAGTAATGTAGAATCTGGCCAGCCCATGTGTGTGTGTTTTGTCCAATCAGAGTGTATGTGGAAAGCCCGTCAATCCTTACATCTCATTTCATTATGTCCTCACGTTCGATGGGGCGGCTGCGTTAGGAGGGTGTCGGAGGCAAGAGGCTACACAGTGACGGCGCGACGACGTGAGCTCGACGGCGCCGACAAGAGGTTACTTGGCGATAGCGCCACATGACGGTCTTTGTGTTGTATGTACTGTTCAAAGTCGATCGCTGTGGTCGTAAGGATCCAAACTTGAGTTGCTTAATGGTGCATACACTATAGGTAATTGCGTTGTGAAGGTGTTTGCTATACACACATGAGTTAAATGATGTAGGAGTTATACTAAGACTCGTCATTTCACGGTGACTACATGTAATCTTGTCATCACTGTCGTTCAAAAACTACCTTGCATGTGATTCTCCACTGTTGCCTTATAAATGCGGGATTATTGGTATAATTCTGAAGTGGTTAGGCATGCATGGCACATGCGTAGTGGTGTGGTAGGTGCTGGCGTCGACCCCCTTGCGTGGTTAATTCGTGTGCGGGGCTGCATGGTGGTTGGTGTGGACGTGGTGGTGGTGTCTGCCGTCGTTGAGGAAGGAATACTCAACGACAGCAGACGCCACCGCCATGTCTGCACCACCACCAGCCACTACATTGACGACTGTGGTGGTCGTCAATGTATTGATTGGTGCTGGCGTCGATTCGTGTTAATTTACACTGATAATTCAGTGCACATTAATTCTAGTAGTACTATATACTTTCAACTTACAGCTACTCGGAGTACTCTGTCACGGCGTCCCAACCCAAAACTCAATTAACCATATGTGTGACTGACCATACGGGTACCTGATGACACGCCAGTGACGTAAACAAATACATGTATATACTCCCTTGGGGTCATCCCCAACGAATACTGGTGCTGGAAGCCCATGTGTATTCTATGTGGTTTTCGTTAAAGTTCGTGTGTATTTCGTTATTTAGAGTGTGAGAAAGACGGGGTCTCCCACAAGCGGATGAAACTCCAAGAGAAGTCGACCAGTTCGCTACACATCGATGAAGAAGGGGTGAAGCGTCTGGAGTACATTCGGCATTCCTTGTCTAAGGCCATGAAGATGGCTTACATCGTAGCGCGTGATCGGAAACCGTGGGAGAGATGGGCGGAGAACTTTGTCTCGTTCGCGCCTGGTCAGACGAAGGCTGAGCGGTCGTGGAATTATAGCCTACGCAGGTTTTTGGACAAGCACGGCGAGGTTATTTGGAATCGGTATTTCTGGATCAGTTGTGGTACTGCCGAGGAGGGATATCATGTACGTCAGTCAGGGATATCATGTACGTCAGTCACCCTTCAGTTGTTGTGGTGATGCGAGCGGCTAGGTACATGCCTCGTCCAACGATCCCAACCACAAAAAAAGAGAGAAAGCCAAGAACGAGTGGGTACGGCTGGTTTCTGAGCTGCATAAGTTCGCAGAGGCGTCGGTGTTCCATTTTCTGTTTCACAAAGTCCACCTGTATTGGGCCGAGATCACCCAAGAGCCATACAGTCTGACGTCGATGCAGACCAGCCTGGGAGAAAATGAGAGAGTGCGATAAATCGGGACGCACGGGTCGAGCCGATGGCCCGACATCGTCGCGATTTTGGGAGACATGCGACTACCACGTTTTCAGGCCTACGAGTTTGACCCAGCTTTGCCAGCTGCGATGCACGAGAAGTGGGCATGAGACTTTTTCTCTGCGCAGATGCGACTCAAGAAAGCGCCAAATTGGGTGGGTCCCATGTACGACGAGGGAACTCCGGCCTGGCGGCGACGCGTAGAAGTCCTTTCCCATTTGTACAATTTCCAGCAGGTATTTACGAACAACCCGTCTGGGTGGCGAGGCAGAAATCGACGGATCCCAACCTGCAAGGCGAGTTTGTGGCGGTCTTTGGTCGGGCCAAGGCGGTGCGGTTGAGTACGGGCTGCCAGTGGATAATACTGACGTGTTGGGAGGTCAACATGCCTACGTACGAGGGGTGACGTTAAAGAAGCGTTAGTACAGCCGTCGTGATGCGTATTCAGTAATCCATTTGACTTAGATGTATGTGTCCTTGTTGTCGAGGTAGTTTAGAACTGAATCAACGTTTGGGGTTCCACGTCGAGGTCTTTGTACCGTTTCGAACGGCGAAGCGGAGGTAATCCCATGTTCATTCGTCTGGTCGTCTGGAATTCGTCCACGTATGATCTGTACACAGACAGACAGCTTGGAATCGGCAATCCAATACTTGAGACCCTCGGCATGTTCGACCAAGTACTCCTTTTGGCGGGAGTTGGGCAGTCGTCGCTGGTCGACTACCTGGAAATTCGGCGATGAGGTGGATGAGTAAGCAACGTCGTCATTTGGAAAGGACACGAAGCTGGACGAGGGTAGGCAATCGATGTACAGTTCGTCGGATGCTTCGTCGTCCTCAGGTATCTCGTCATCGAATGGTCGTGAATAGTAGCCCCGAAAAGGCTTAAGTCGGTCGACGTTCACTGTTACCATCTTGTCAGGGTGAGATGGTATGTCGATCTTGTATGTGTTTGTGCCAATCTTACGATCGACTCGAAAGGGTCCATGCCAATGAGTGGCCAACTTGGTCGTTCGATGATCGACTGGACGAGTGGACTTGGTGAAGTATTTGTAGACCCATACGGCTGTCTGCTCGCCAAATTCGATGGGTTTTTAGCTGGACTTGGTCCTTGCGCTCTTGTTTTGACCGTTGATCAGTTGTTGTTTCACGAGGCTTCGCGTCTCTTTCCAAGATGTGGCCAGACCACATTTACATTGGGGCAAGTTGTCGGACTTCCAGGAGGGCTCGGCGTTGATAAACGCCAATTCCAACGGCAGCGTGGGGTCTCGTCCAAAGAGGCAAAAGTATGGGGAGTCTCCAAGAGTCTCGTGGTGGGACGTGTGATACGCAAAGAGCAGGCGTGGTAGGTAGGTGTCCAGTCCGTCTGATGGTCAGTCACATAGATCTTGAGCATCTGAATGATCGTATGGTTGAATCGTTCAACTAGACCTTGTCCTCGGGGGAGGTAGGCCGCAGACGCAAGCTTATTGATGCTTAGCGTGACATACATCGTTGTGGCCAGTTCGGAGACGAAGTTTGATCCGCGGTCGGAGAGCAGACGGTCAGGCACACCGAAGCGACAGAGGACTTCATCGATAAAGACACGACTGAAGGTAGACGTCTTCGGGTCTGGTACTGGGATGGTTTCAACCCATCAAGTGAAGTAGTCGGCAAATACCAAGATGTATATTTGTTGCCGTTGTCGGACGTGGGTAAAGGACCAAGCGCGTCCACCACGACAAAGGCGAATGGTCAATGAGTAGACTGGCATCCATTGCATTGGACCATGTTTCCATGGATGGCCGCCTTTGGCTCGATTGCAGGCCAAATATTTCGAGACTTAGTCTTTGCAATCATGTTGCCAGTATACCCAGTACGCAGTTCGTCTGAGGCGTTCCCGAGTCTTCATGTAGCCGAGGTGTCCAGCCAAGGGGGACGCGTGGGAATCATAAAGCACTTCTTCGAGCGTGTAAGGTATGACCGGAACAAGGCGAGCTTGGGATTTCGAAGGGGTGTCTTGAACGTGATGTATCGGCAGACGATGCTTTGTCTGACGACGAACTGATGACTGTTTCGAACGACCAGTTTGAGTAAGTAAGGGTCCAAGCGCACAGCACCTTCGTCTAGGTATGCCCTCAACGCTACGATCCAAGTGTCGTTCGCTTGTTCGTTGTTCAGCCGGGGCGAAGGTCGAGCCCGTCGGTCGTACAAGTCAATGAGCTGGGGGTTGTTCGAGGTTGGTTCTGGTAGACTCGGCTGTGTGGAGGTTGCGACGAAGGCGACCTGGTTCGACTAGATTCTTTCCCCGTCGTGAGGTCTGGGTCAGTCTGGGCCACCAGACGTCTGATACTTCTCGTCTCGATCGGACAAACTGGTAGACGTGATAATCCGTCAGCGCGGCCCGAAATGTCGAGATTCGAGTTGTCTGCAGTGACAAAGCCCAGACGAGGTTGTTTGAGTGGGGGCTGGCCGAGACGATGCCAAAATGACGCACTGATGAAACTACTGGTTGCTCCAGTGTCAATGAGACCCGTTGCTTGTACTCGGTCGATGTACGCTTTGACGAAAGGGTTCGTCGCCGTCTGTGTCCGCGTGTCAGACACAGCGATGCCCGCGACAAGGCGAGACGAAGGTAGACAGTCGTTGAACAGGTCGTCACAATGGGTTGGGTCTAGTTTTGACGAGCGACGTTTGTAGTTGCGGGTCCCCTGTAAATGAATGCGTTGGCGAGCCACGCTGGACTGGGAGGACTTGTTCGATGGGTAGTCGAGTGGTAGTTCGTTCCATGAAGCGATAGGTCGTTTGGACGAGATTGTTGGACGTGAGATCTTAGTCGTCCAACTAGTCGACGTGCGTGCCAGCGATGTTGAAGCTTTGGCACAGTTGGAGAAGGTGTGTTATCAGGCACCCCGTATAGTTTAGGGCAAGGCGAGTTGACAAACTCGTCGCCGGCCCATAGCACGGCGTAAGGATTAGGGTCGACCCGTTGTATGTGAGCGACTGCCTCAGTTGTTTTAAAGTCGCGATTGGCGCGTTTGGCCTCACCACACGTATTGAGCGTGTCTGCGAACCAGCCATACCATTTGGCTTCGTCCTCGATGTCTGCCGGGGCCAGAAGTAGGTGGACATCCGACGAAAGGAGGTTGAGAGTTTTGAGTATCTCGTCCTGTGCAGGGTTCTTGCGACGTTCGCGGATGCGATCAGTTTGCATGCGGACGTCAGCTGGAGTAATCGGATAAAGTCGATCCTCGATTTCCTTGGGATATTCCTCCTCGCGTATTTCAGGGCACGACGAATTAAGGTCGTTGACTTCAGCGTCCGAGAAGACTGGGCGTTCAGGTTGGTCGTCAGCGCTTGTGCGAACCTGATTGCGAGAAGTCGATGAAGCAACCGTCGAGTCGAGTGATGATGCTTGAATAGGAGCAGTAGACTCGTCACAAACACACTTGAGCAGACAAACGTGGTTCGTCGGCGTGGGTCTTGAGTGCGTAGGTGGAGAGTTTGACTCAAGCTTGGCCAGACGAACAGAGTCCGTCGGTGGGGGGCGTCGTCGTGAAACATGAGGATGCGTAGAGGGATGCGGCATCCGAGTCCAAGATTGAAGGATGGATAAAAGACGTGAGTCCTTCCTCCGTCGTAACAATTGGGATCGAACTAGAAAAGGAAGATACATTGTTCTCAGGCACATAGGAAGCGTGCTGAGTGTGGCAAGCTGAGACAAAACCTGTTCCCGTAAGGTTCATCTCAGCGCCAAAGAAGCAGGCTTGATTTGCGGGCTTGGATGGGCACTTGGGGCAGAGCTTGACGTCTTCGCCTAGGTAGTGTCCCGTCTGGCCACAAGAGAGAGTTTCAGCGCATAGTCCGTCGAGAGCATTCGCTGGCACCATGACAACGACGATCACAACGACCACAGACGTTTTGGCCGCTGACCGTCATTTCGTCGGGCTTGGACGAGATCATCACTGGGGTATGGCCAACACGAGTACGTCCGGCACCGGGCATTTGATTCTGAGTCGGTGTCAGGTTCGGTGGAAGGGCCGCTTGCAATGGTATTAGTAGCATATGGTTATTGATACGGCTATCCATAAGACGAAGTCGCGGACTGGATCGGAGCCGCTTGTTGATAGGCGAAGCTGTATGGTTGCGAGGGCTGGATCGGGGCAGCATAATTGGGCTGAGTGTGACGAATCAAGGCGTCGACAAACTCTTGCTGGACTTGGTTCGAACGCGCGATCAACGCGACGAACGTTTTTTGCTGCTGGGTATGGTTCGTCGTCATGAATTCGAGAGTTGCCGTATCGCCGCTTGGTCCTCAAACTCGACATGAGATCCGCGGCGTGACATATGAGGCGAATCCGGAGGAGTTGAACGTTCACTGGTAGTTGTACGAGGCGACGCCGACGTAGAGGCCGAGGAGTTGGATCGAGGCTTTGCGTACATCTGGGTCTTGTCTGTTATTTCGTCCAGATGAAATTCACGCGTGCGAAGGAGTTCCATGCAGTCGGCGATGGGTTCGCGGTCGGTGTGTTCGAGACATGACTCTGCACGGGCGTGTCGAACTCCGCGTTTGAACATGGCAACCCCTTTACTAGCTGGGAAGTCCACTTCGTCCAAGATCGTCTGGAGTCGACTTACGCGTACTTGGCGCACGCCTTTACCGGTTCGTCCATGTAACGCTCAGACGCTTCGATCAGGTTGTCCACGTGGTCGCGAGGAGTGCTGCTGAAGAACTGGTCCACAAAGCTGTCATGGATCTCGGACTAGACCTCACCACCTTTCGTCTTGGAGTAGGCGATCCACCAGGCATTCAGGGTAGTGGGAGTCTTGTCGGCCGAGAGCTTTAGACTGAGAAGGGACCTGCGTTCATCGTCGGTCAGACCACCATGGCCAGCTTGTTCCACAAGTTACTTCATGAGCACTCGCAGTGATAATGGGCGTCCGAGGACGGGATGGTAGTGTATTTCACAGCGCGACCGAATGCTTGGTTGCTCGAGGACGTCAGCCATGTCACTGGACATTTTGGTCAAGAGGGCAGTGAGTCCGTAAGGTAGCAGAAAAGGGCAACCCGAGGATGGTTCGGGTGCAGAGATCGAAGCTTGGGCTAGATGGGACGAGATGTCTAGACTGAGCCGATCAATGCGCGCTTCGAGAAGTAGCACGCGGTTTTGCAGGAGGGTCTTGTCGTGGACGAGAGACGAGACGCGTTCGTGTAAGAGTTGGTTTTCCTGGCGAAGCGCTTTGAGGCAGGGACGAGTGTCGTCTGAATAGACAGGTGGTGATGCAGAAAGTTGTTCGTGGAGCGACGACCGAGAACTTGGACGTCAGACGAGGGGCGTTCAACTTCGCGGGAGATACGGTCTTCCTACGAGTGAAGAGCGGTCTGCAGTAGAGCGGTGGCCGAGGCTTGACTGAAAAGTGCATTCAGAAATGGCCTGAGCATTGACGGAGATTGCCGTTGGATCTGAAACCGCCAAGTTCGAAGGAGATTCACGGAAGCGTCCAATGCTTGAAGTTCAACTTGGATTGACGAAACGTCTTGAGTCAAAGTGTCAAAGTCTTGTTCCGTTCGGCCATTGTATCAACAGCGTTGCGGAGGTGGCCTAGTTCATCGGTAGCAGCTAACTACCAGGCACAGGTAGACGAAAGGGTTTCGTCCACTCTGTGCGAAAGGTCCGTGGTCGCAGCTTGGTGTTCGAGGGACGAGGCTCGCAAGGTTTGGACTTGTGCTGAAACGTGGTCTTTGGAGTGAAGTTTGCTCAGAGTGAAGTTCTATATTTGCGAGATCCTCACTCGACGGAGAACTAGCGACCAATTCCGACTCGGTAATAGCTTGCATGATCGAGTTGTCGTCTGTTTCCATCTCACTAAAGTTGTCGAGAATGGAGCGGATGGGAGGTGGTCCGTCAAGCGGCAAGATCGGCGGCATCGTCAACGACGGAATTTCATCAGTCGCGTCAATCTCCATAGGTTCTTCGTGGTGAGCGACAGGAGCAAGACCAAATGGTAGATCCGGTTCAAATGCCGTCAAGTGCTGATGACGTTCCACGATAGGTTGATGAATGGGCACCATGTCGAGTAGCGGACTGGGCTCCACATGGTCCGTCATGGCCTCGACACTCATGGATTCGTCTGGACGAGCAGACACGACGTGGTCCATCAGTTGGGGGGGGGGTGTTCGAGATCTCGGATCCACGTGAGCGACAGGTGACAATCCAAATGGTATGGCAGGATTTTAGACGGTAGTTTCGTGAACGAAAACGGAAGCTCGCAGGGCCAGACGAGTCGGCGACGAAGAGTCAAAGCGCGTTCTCGTCTGGTCCAGTACAAAACCAGTTTAGTACTGGAACAGACGAGATGTTACTGTCTGGCGCCAGATGAGAATCTAGGCAAGTGTACTTCTGGTGTATGCGATCAAAAACAAGACGCGCTTCGGATAAAGTCACATCGCGCTGTTGCAGGGCGAGCGTTATCGACTTGAACTTAGTCAGTCCCAGTAGGTGGCGCCGGATAAGGTTGTCATCTTGTGGGGTCGGTAACAATTCGGACATCTCGGGATCGGAGGTATCGATGTGGTTGCCATCACGATAGTAGATGTAGCGTTGAAAGATGGACACAGCGCCAGTCCATCTGGTGGTATTGCGTAGCTTGGGCTTCAACATGGTGGTTAATCGTAGTCGGCCCCCCGCTTTCAACGATCGAAGCTTAACCATGACTGCAGCCACCTTAGAGAGCACATCACTGACCTTAGCTTTGAGAAACTGATCCACCGCCAAATTCAAGCGATGGCTGTGACAGCCAATCAACGGTCGCGAAAAGAGATTCGCCGTGGCCTTATTGGTCGAACAATTGTCGCCAATCAGACAAACGAACCACTTTTCGATGCTCGCGTCTGATTGGCCATACCACTTTAACGTTTCCAGGATGAACTCGTAGTGAGTAGCGGCGTCAAAACTCGTCTCGTCCAGCATAGGAGCGAATGCAAGGAGCCACATAACCGGTTCACCACCACCTTTACACACATTCGGGAGCGAGACAAACATTCCGAGGAAATGCGTAGAGTCGTTGGACCACCCATCAAACACAATGCTGTACGGCCGGCCAGCCATAGCGCTCGACACACGTCGTTCCACGGCCTTCACCAACTTGAAACAGTAGCGTTTTATCGTTTTGACAGAAATGGGTTTCAACTGTGTAACTGTGAGAGCCCTGAGCAGCCCTCCAACGGAGTTCATGCAAACATATCCAAATCTCCAGTCAAGGGAGGGCGTAGCACTTATTTGTGCTCGTTGTGCAAGTGCATTCTCGTCGATGGGAGCTGGTACACAAACCTCACAGCCAATGCAACCTTTGATTATTGTACAATATATTGGCAATACCTGTGGTGATATATTTGTACAGTACAGTACAATATAATCAATTTTCGGCAATATCATCCTGAAAATCAATTAATAATTGCAATCTGCGAAGTGGAATAATAAATAATTGAACTAACAGTAAATATATTGTTTAAGTAATACATTAAAGCTTATCTCGATTCGGGATAAGCTCGTCTCGCCACAGTCAGCTGGACTTCAGCGTTAAGCTGACCAGTGCGAGTC